GTGTTCCAACCTAAACTCTACCCAGTCCCCTGGTTTTCTGACCCCAGAGATCAGACACAGGAAGTTAGAAGGAGAGCAGATTACTAAAAGACAACAATAGTCACTTTTTACTTATAGCAACAAAGGAGCGAGAAAAAGTGTAAAAAGCAGTAGCACACAGCTTGGTATCTTGGAAGTCATTACTACATAGTGCAAGAGCTGCTATTTATAATCATGACAAAATGAACAAGAAAAATTTTATAACATCAAAGGAATTTTCAAAGAGTGTGTTTTAAATATTTTAAGCCTTTAAAATTTTAAAATTTAGTTTAATTATTGGGATAATTCATCCATATGGAACATCTTGTTCCAGAGATATTGTGTGTATGAAAACGTCACTAAAGCAGTATATGTACAGGAAAACATTAGCCTAGCAATGAAGGCTGTTATGGAAGTCTCTGTTAATTATCTGTGTGGTAAAGTAATAACAAAATGTTCGTGAATATCTAAGCTGACTTCCTGAAAAAGCTATTAGTAAATGAATTTAAGTTGTACTTTTTATCAAAATGTTCTATTAATAAAAATATTGGCTCCAGCAAGAGATAACAGACTGTATAGGAGTGCTACTAGATCAAAGTGGGAGAGGCTGAAAGATTAGATGGGATAAGAGAAAAGAGAAGTTTACGAAATAAGGTAGGAAAATGAAATGGGAGAAAGTAAGAAGAGGCCAGAGTCTTTAAAGATACAAATGGGGGCATAAATGAAACCAGGAAGGCTGACAAAAGTTCTAGGGAGAAAAAAACCAAGTGTGACAAGTGTTCAACTACAGGAATGGGCCTGACTCTTCTATTTCTGAAAAATGTTAGACACATGAAGTTTTGTAGAATAATAATTCTTGCTTAAGCAGAACGTACTGGACCATAATCTGGCTGTCTCCTTGCTTTGTCTAAAGTAGCTGCATTCAATGTAAACAATTAGAAAAAAGTTTTATTGGTAACCAATGTGAATTCTTACTGGTAGCATGTAAAAATCTAGGCTTTCTTCTCATCTGGCTGTAGCTATCTGTTTCTATACAATCCACTATGTTTCTAAACAAGGTTATGAACTACTTGATTTAGGACTGTTTTCCTCTAACAATGGACTTTTTATTTTGGCCATTTGTTTTTTAAACTCCTTCTCATAATGGAGCAATTTCTAGTTCTTGTCCTTATAACTTTATTTTTCCTCCTTGCCAGCCCTGTTTACATCTTTGCTGGTGATATAAACTGCTTTCAGGGACAGAAATGACAGCACCAATATGCCACACCACAGCATTATGACCTACCATTTACCAAGTCCTGCTTCCCAGGCTTGGTGAATGTAAACCTTATTAGAAGAGTCCTGCTTTTTATTTCTAAATGTGCCCCAAGGTATCATCCAGGATAATATACAAGTATATTCCCTTTCATTAAACTTAGGGTTTTTTTCCCTTCCTACAAAGGTATTATATCAAAACATCTACTATTCCCTAATTTAAACCTATGATAAGGTACAATGCACCCACTTTTTTCTGGATAGGAAACATTCTTTAAAAAAAAAAAAGATTTATTTATTTATGCGTATAAGAGTTGGGGTGTAGGCCAAAGGTGTGTGTGTGGGGGTGAGAGGATTCACCAGAGACAGAGTGGGGAACAGAACAGGCAGACTTGACGAAATACACTGCTGAGGGGAGCAGCGGGCGAGATAGGAGAGGTCTCCTGCGCCATGTGGGTTTCTCCCTGGCCAGCCGGGATCAAACTTGTGCTGCAGAGGCTGTGGATAGCTGCAGTGTAGTGCTTAACCCCTTACACTATCAGGGAGGCCCAGGACAGGAAACTTTCTTAACCTTCTCTCTATTCCTCCTCTCCCCTCCACTTCCCATCAATCACTTAATTTCTAAAACGTCTTAAAATCATGTTTCTCCTAATAAAAAATCACCCATTAAACCTTTTTTTAAAAAAAGATTTATTTATGCATACAACAGCTGGGGTACAGGCCAGAGGTGTGGAGGTTGAGAGGATTCACCAGAGATAGAGCAGGGAACAGAACAGGCAGATTGACCCAAGTACACTGCTGAGGGGAGCAGTGGGCGAGCCAGGAAAGGTCTGCTGCACCATGTGGGCAGCTCCTTGGGTGGGATCAAACCTATGCTGCAGAGGCTGTGCTTAGCTTCACAATGCTGTGCCCAACCTCTTGTGCCACCAGGGAGGCAGCCATTAAACCTTTTAACTCAGTTATTCTTGGCCATTTTCTGTCCAACTAATCTGAGGGGACCTATATGCTTCTTCCTATTGTATTCACTGCTAATGACAAAAAAAAAAAAAAAAAAAAAAAGAGGGGTTGGGAGGTTTATTTGAAAAAGGTCCACAGTAGCATCTGTCAAGTAGGCTCCATTTGACTGAGAAATGCTGCTATAACAAACTTTTGAAAGGTTAGTTTGTAGTTGATAAAGACAAAAAATTCACAGCAGAAACTAGACAGTATAGCAAATTTTACTTCAGTATGTGTTTTTTACCTACAGAGATCTACAAATATTCATGGTGAGGGAAAACAAGTAAGATTTTTCTGTCTCAAATTTTATATTCTAAGGATCTGTCTGAAGTCTCCTACCTACTCTAACATCACTCTATAGCAGCCATAAACCTGAGTTCAAAATAATACTTTTGAGTTCCCCAGTGATTAACAGGATTTAAAAAAAAAAAAAATAATCCATATAAAGGCAATTTTCTTTTCTTTTTCTTTTTTTTAATAAAGATTTATTTATGCATACAAGAACGGGGTACAGGCCAGAGGTGTGGGGGGGTGAGAGGATTCACCAGAGACAGAGGGGAACAGAACAGGCAGACTGACTGAAACACACTGCTGAGGGGAGCAGCAGGTGAGTCAGGAGAGGTCTGCTGCGCCATGTAGGTAGTTCCCTGGCTGGGGATCCACCTTGTGTTGCAGAGGCTTTGGATAGCTTCATAGGTTGCGTCTTAATCCCTTGCACTGCCACGGAGGCCCAGAGGCAATTTTCTTAATTGTCCAAAATAATGAAATAGATGCCCTAGCTTGGAGGTGCTCTGCGTTAAGCTAGTAGTCTGGGCTAAAAAGCGATAATGCAGATCAAAGAACAGGGAGCTTTCAGAATGTCCACGATCCAGAGGCTCCTATGCCCAGCAGGGAGTGGGAAAGGAGAAGAGCAGAGCTGCAAGAAGCCTATGGTTCTGAGGGCTGGGACCAGAATAGTAGCAGGAACCAAGAACCTTGTGGGAGGAGAGTTACTGAAAACCTTGATCCTCACTGCATGGCTTGCCTGTCAACCTTTTCTCTGACATATGCATAGATATTTGGATGAGACTCGAAGGTAAGGACATTGAGACATGATTAAGCTGTGAGTGGCTATGAGTGACAGAGGGAACTCTGAGTAAGCAGTAAACAGCGGACACTGAATCTACTCAAGCACAAGTTCTGGGTTCCTCAAGTGCTGTGGAGGTGCTACACACTGCCCCCCTTGTAGAAGCTGAGAAAAAGGATGAAGGGTAAGTAACCGCATACTTAGGACTCTGATCTAACAACAGGAATATGAAGTAAAAATATTTCCAAGTGTCTCAAGAAACTGCAGACTATAAACATGCTATGATGCATTCCAGACATAATACAGTTTCAAACTTAACAGTATATGAGGGAAGGGGTGTGGTCCACAGAACTGACTTTTGAAACACAAAAAATAAAAGATGTTCCCGCAGGAATAATGGGAAAGGAAATTATTCAAGATCTTCTTGTACTGTCTATGCATTTTAAAAAGTAGAAAAACAAAGAAAGCAAATTACTTCACAGAGCACTCTGCTTTTCTAACAGATTGGGTGTTTTTTTTTTTTTTTCAGTTTGAGAGGAATTAAAGCCCCTCCACTAAAAATAAAAGAATGAAAGTTGCATATTCACTACCTCTTGCTGTGGAAGGCAATTTTAGGCCTATTAAATTATTTAAGATTAAGAGAACATCGCTACAGTCAATCAGAATGCAATCATTCCTAATTTGCATCATTCCTAATTTGCATATGCAGGGTACTGGTAAATACTATTCTAGCTGTTAATTAAATTTCTTTATAACAAAAAACTCTTTTTACTTAAGTGGAACTTCAAGCTAAGTACACTTGTTAAAAATATTTTTCTTGACTGCAGGACAAGAGATTAAGCACGAAGGTGAAATCCAGCCTCTCTCCAGGAAATTCTTAAGGGGAAAATAAGGTATTTTAAATCAAATGGTAAACGTGTAGGAATGCTTAAAGACCACAGCCTGTAAATCTATCTTTCATTAAGGTTCTGGATCTTTTAGGGCCCTGTTTGGTGGATAGGTTAGGAAAGTCAGCTTGATTGAAACAATGAACAGTCTGATTTTTCTCTTTTAAAAGTCAAGGCCAAAAATTGAGAATACCAGACAGGAAGGGGAAAGGTGAAGAGCAAAGGGGGTAGGGGAGCAGTGGACTTCGGTGGAGGCCCGCGGGCGCCTTCGAGGTGGGGGTGGCGTGGTAACATACATTTGAAGAGGTGTGGTCCTAGACCTCTAAATCAGTGTTGTAAACCATTGTTACCTCAATTTTTAAAAAGTCAATGCCATTATTCTGAGAAAAGTTCAATCTATTGAAGAAAACATTTTGTCTAGCTGAAGTATTTCCCAATAAAATAAGGCATCCTGGTAGAAATTCTCTTCTAACATGGAAGTGAGATTAAAGAGATGAGAAAAAAACAGAGAGAAAAGAGCTAACAAATCGTGCCCTTTTGCAATAGGGCTGAAAAGAGACTAAAGCCACGAATGTCCTGCAAAGGCATCCAGTAAAAACTGCTATGTACAAGGAACATAACTAATCAAGAGTTTTCTTACACAATTTTCTTTCCCTAAGAAATTCTTACAGATCTTACATTATAGGTCTCAGCTTAAGGAAAAGAGACTGCCAGGAGTCATCAACTCAGGTCCCCTCAAAAACCTGTTTGTCCCAAAGCCCTAGTATCTCCACACTCACCTCATCATCACTGTCAGACGTTTCAGAGTCTGAGGATGCTGCAGGCTGACTCACAGGGGGCTCCTTCTCCTCAGAATCACTACGTTTCCGCTTTGCCAGCGACAAGAGCTCCTAATAGGGCAGAAGCAGTCACATGAGTTTTGTTCAACAGAGAAAAAATATGCAAGAATAAAATGCCTACACACCCTACATCTCTTCTACCTCGCTGTGCTTTGAATTAATGGGAAATGTATGCTTGAATGGAATAGATTAGAAAACTCAGCTGGAGGCTATCCCCATGTTGTCACTATCTCCTCTATCAGCTACAGAATTACTGATTTTTAAAAGATTGATTTTTATTTATTTATGCATACAAGAGCTGGGGTGTAGGCCAGAGGTACAGGGTGGGGAGGGGTGTGAGAGGATTCACCTGAGTGGGGAGCACAACAGGTGACCTGGGGCCTCCCTGGTGGGAGGAGCTAAGTGCCAGCACTATGAAACTACCCACAGCCACTGCAGCAGTTTGATCCCCAGCCAGGGAGGTGACCCACATGGCGCAGCAGACCTCTTCTGACTCGCCCACTGTGCCCCTCAGCAGTGTATTTCAGTCAATCCACCTGTTCTGTTCCCCGCTCTGTCTCTGGTGAATCCTCTCACCCCCCACACCTCTGGCCTACACCCCAGTTCTTATATGCATAAATAAATAAAATAAAATCTTTTTTAAAAATCTTAAAAAAAAAGAAAAAAAAAAGGTCTGCTGTGCCATATGCAGGTTAGCTTCCTGGCCTAGGATCGAACTCAGGCCACAGTGGTGATAGTGCTGAGACTTAAACCCTAGGCCACCAGGGAGGCCCTTTGAGGTCATTTTTAAATGCTTAATCCAGAAAAAACAAACAAACAACAACAACAAAAAAACTCAGGGTCAGACAACAAGCAGTAAATGTGCTGGCCACCACATCAAAAAATTTGACAACCCAATATTCCCATTCAGAAACAGTGCTTTGTGCTGGTGGTAATATACGAGGGATGAGAGAGGAAGGGATATGGCATTAAATCTCTGACAATCAGGCTTTGCTTTCTCACATGGTTCCCCTTTCCTGTTACTTCTTTGCCACTCTCCCCAATCACTAGATGGCAACAAAAGGATACTATCCCTTTCCTTTCTCTGTGCTAATTGCTGAGGCAATGATACAGAACTAGATGCCAGACACTTTCCTAAGTATCTAATATTTAATATTAAAGTAAACCTTTAAAAAAGATTTTATTTATTTATGCCTATAAGAACTGGGGTACAGGCCAGAGGTTGTGGGGTGAGAGGATTCACCAGAGATAGTGAGGGGAGCAGAACAAGTGGATCTAGTGAGATTCACTGCTGAGGGGAGCAGCGGGCAACACAGGAGAGGTCTGCTGTGCCATGGGGATAGCTCCCTGGCTGGGGATTGAACTCATGCTAGCAGTGTATCATCTCTGAGCTACCAGGGAGGCCCAATATTAAACTTCAAGGTAAACCACAACAACCTTAAGGTAAGTATCATTATTATGCCCATTTAAAGATAAGAAACTGATGAGCACGAGAGGTTAAGTAACTTACCCAAGGTAACACAGCTAGTACATGGTAGAGTCAGAATTCAAACCAAAGCAGATAGAATCCTAACTCCTAATTCAGTCATGGTTTACTAGTCTAAAACATTTTTCCCTTCTGCCAAAAAAGAGAAGAATACAACCGATAAATACCAGTGGTATTATTCCTTGATGATGATGGTGCTGTACAATTATAGGTCAAATGCCAAGATAGATTTTAAAATAATATATTGCTACAAAGAATCTGTTTTCTTCTTCCAGTCTCTTCTCTTTCTATTTTAGGAGTATACCCTCCTTGGCCAGAATGAGAAAATGACCTTCTCAGATTAACAGCTGACACACTCTCTTCTTTATAAGCAGTTATGAAATGTTACTCTTGTCATTTCATTAGAGAAAGCTAGCATACCAACTTCCAGAAAATGCTGAATATCACAAGAACATTCTACTTTTTCATATCAAAATGGCAACCCTATAAGCCAAATGCAAATTACAGTAATACTGTCTTTAGAACTTTAAGTATAATTTACATACAGTCATTTTACCCTTTCTTATGTATAGGTCCATGAGTTTGAAAATTATACAGATTAATCACTCCCACAATCAAGATACAGGACAATTTCAACATCCCTGCAAATTCCCTATACTCTTCACATCCCTCCCACCATCCCACGGCAACCACAGACCATTTTCTGTCCCTGAAGAGCTGCCTGTTGTAGAATGTCATATACATGGAATCATGCAGTGTGTGATCTTGTCAGTCTGGCTTTTTAGCATAATGCATTTGAGATCCATCCACAAGTGGCATGTATCAATAGCTTGTTCCCTTCATTGTTGAGTAATCCATTCACTGTATGGATGTATCACACTTTGTTTATCCATTTACCAGTTGAGAAGCATTTGGGTTGTTTCCATTTTGGAGCTATCATATGTTCATGTGTAGGCTTTGTCTATACACAAGTTTTTATTTCACTGGGGTAAATGTAGGATTGGGATTCCTAGGTTATATGGTAATTTGTATGTGGTCTTTACTATTACCCTTTTCCCCTATTACCTTAGTGCAAATTTATAAAATTTAAAAAGACTTCTGGTAGGTAATCTCTTTCCTAACCTGTTGAGGCTCACAAATGCAATAGAATTCTGTTTGAAGGCCAACTCATTATAATAGGAATATGGATATGTTATCAATCAAATCCTCTCCCAAAACATTAACAATCACATGCAATAGACATTTATTAAAAATTACTGTAACTAAAGATGTTAGTACTGCTTTTTTGTTAAAGAGGTTCCATTCTATACCAAAACCTATCAAATACCTCTCCATCAATAACTGCATCGAATAGGCACAGATGCTCTTCTATGACATTAAATACTACATTTAACAACAGTATGGACAGATCAAACATCTTTACAGTGTGAAAAACACCCTTTCTGTCACAAGTTCAGAACTGTACAGGAAGCTACTGATGGTAAGGCTACACTTTATAGTTAAGCCCTTTAGAGTCTACTGAGGTTGATAAGTAGAGGAACAGACCAAAGTACAGTGGAAAGCTTTTTCCAACACTGCACATAGAAAGACCCCATCAGATTTGCCTACCTATAGGAGTTGGTTTATCCAATAGCTATATTCAAAAAAGTCAGTCTGACAGGGCAGTAGGTCCACCTGTAGTTCTCTCCTGCCAGCCCATTTCACTGTACTGCACTGGTTGAGATAACACTGCTGTGAGTCTGGTGGTTCTCTCTCCGTACCATCCCTGTATTTCATCTCATCTAGAAAAAATCTTGTCTACTTATCTTGACATTCCTCTAGGGGAACAGCAGTGTGGGATGCCAGCATGTTACATCAAATTTAAGCTAACTAAAGATCTGCCTAAATTAATGCCAATGTTCAATAAACTACAGATATGGCTGTGTAGGATACCAAATCTAGCTTCTAGAGCAGTTTCTAGTGTGACTGGAGCTTAGCAGGCCAGGAGGGGAGAATGAAATGAGATGGTTTACAGGTAGGAAGAAACATTTCAATGTTTATAAAGCAGAATCAGGTGCACAGATTTTATTGAAGGCAGTGGGGGGACCATCATATGGTTTTAAACAGGGGAGTAAACATCCTCCCAAAGCTTTTTTTTATTTTAATGCATACAAGAGCTGGGGTGTAGGCCAAAGGTGTGGGGGAGGGGGTTGGGGAGGGAGAGGACGCACCAGCGACAGAATGGGGAGCAGAACACTGGGAAAGCCACTGCTGAGGGGAGCAGAAGGCCAGACAGGAGAGGTCTGGTCAGCTCCCTGGCCCAGGATCAGGATAGAACTTGTGCTGCAGAGGCTGGTGATAGCTTGATAGTGCTGAGACTTAACCCCTTGTGCCACGAGGGAGGCCCCACCCAAGGCTTTTTAAAAGAGCACTCCAACTGACAAATGAACAGACCTAGAGGGGTCAGGGTCAAAGTACAGAGAGAAGTCATAGGAATTCACAGCAGTGTCATCAGTGAATACTGACTTGGACAAAATAAGTAAGAGGGAAACCCAGGGAAACCTGGAAAGACTTGAGAGATGCCGAGGAAAGAGCAGTAATTCAGAGGTTTAAATATTAGATGTTAATTCCCATTCTTTCTTTTATATCCAAATTGTTGATGGAGGAAATGATTCCAACAGTGGCCATTGCTTACTTTTCAGGAGTAAGGAATAGAGCCACTGTGTGCATATATTGTGTGTCCCTATTTGTGGGACAGGGAGGTATTTGTTTTGTTGAATATACTTTTATTTTTTAAAAAAGAAATCAATGAACATATATACAAAAAGTGTGTAATTCCAAAGTGGCATTATCCTTTAACATTTCACATGACTGGTACTAAGTGTGGCAACTTTCTCTTCAAATTTCCAACAAAAGAATTATATTGTAAATAAAAACAATGCACTATATAAAAATGCTCCCAAATATTATAGTTGACAAAGTAAAATCAGTTTTCAATCCATTCAAAATAAAAGCTACATAAAAGTAAAATAAATTTCCACTATTATTTGTTTTTACTTAGCTCCCTCTCCTAATATACTTTCTTTAAAAAAAAAGATTTATTTTCTTTTTATTTATGCATACAAGAATTGGGGGGTAGGCCAGAGGTTCAGGGGGGGTGTGTGTGAGAAGATTCACGAGAGACAGAGTGGGGAGCCAGAACAGGAGGATCTACTGAAACACACTGCTGAGGGGAGCAGCGGGCATGAGATAAGCAAGATTTGCTGAGCCATGTGGGTTAGCTCCCTGGCTGGGGATCGAACTCAGGCCCTAGTGGCTGGTGAGAGCTTGATAGCTGAGACTTTAACCCTTGTGCCACCAGGGAGTCCCTGATATACTTTCTAACTAATGCTGAAAAAGAAAAGAGGGGCCTCCCTGGTGGCTCAGGGGTTAAAGACAGTGCTATCAAGCTATTGCCAGCCACTGCAGCACCAGTTCTTCGCAGCAGACTTCTCCTGTCTCACCTGCTGCTCCCCTCAGCAGTGTATTTCAGTAGATCTGCCTGGTCTGCTCCCCATTCTGTCTCTGGTGAATCCTCTCACCCACG